AACCTTGTAACCGACAGTCTAATTATAACGCTGACGAGGAGCTCCTTCTTGCTGAGGGCGAAGACACATCAGAGCCATGGCATCCCATTCGAAATCAACAAGCAGGAGCCAGTGGCTATAGTGATAATTACATTCCATTAGCAACGGAGGTAGAGAGGAAGCTGCATCAAACAGAGTACAGAGAGTACAGAGACCATGACGAACAACAGGATGGCTTTGAGGAACCCCCTGATTACTATACAAGTGTAAGTAAAAAGTCCCCCTTTCAGACCTTGCAATCTGTGGGGCATATGGTGGAAAGGTCATCTGTTGTTGTGGCCCACAGTTAACGAGGGTGTCATGTGGCCAGCACAACGACCTCTGCTATTCCCGAACTTATATCAGGTAACCATTAGAACTGGGTGGACTCAGAGGCGCTCTTAAGGTCCTGAAATTAAAAATCCCAGTCTTCACCAGGATTTGAACCCGGGATCCTTCAGAAGCCTATCCCTTTGCCACTCAGCCACCTCACCTCCACAAGTGAAACTTTTGTGTAAAAAAAGTTACATAAAAAGCTACATACTATAAGACGTCTGCAAATCAGGTTTTTGTTTATCTTTACTTGGGGCCTGTGTTATACTTGATAAGGACTCAGGATGTTAGAGATATGGGCCCAATTATTTTGGGTTCTTTATTCAAGATGTTCGAAAATAACGTCCTCTGGTCAATGTTTAAGAAGGTTTGAGCGACACCGCAGAAGAGAAAGTACATTTTTCTTTCAGCCATTATTGTTTTTTATGGACTCGACACGACATAAATACTCGAACAACTGACTTGAAATCTTTTAATTCCCAGTGGAGCATATGGACACAGTCCCACCGCAGTGCTTCGCCATCAGACTCTGATCTGGGCAGTCCCCCTAAGTTGGCTCCATGTCCATCCTGCTTTCTCTGCTTCTTGATCTAGTGATCTCCTCCCTGTTTGCTTTGGTCACCCAGCCTCTCTCTCCCCCACTCGGACCATTGCACATTTAATAATAAAAAAAAAATAGATACACAAATGTTGGTATTTAGTAATGCAGAAATATCTAGATCTTGTTGTTTTTTTTACTAGGTACACAAACCAGGACCCGATGACGATGTTGATCTGTTAGTTCCCGAGCGTGAAGAAGATGACAGGAGGCCACGCTGGAACATGGGCAGCAATCCATACCAGACGCCAAGATTCTATGACGACCGTATGCTGAACATGAGCCACGGCTACCCACAGCACATGTCTGCCATGAATTCTTCCGTTTCAAACAATGTTGTAGTGGTCCAACCTGGCCACTCGAGTACCGTAAGTTTTGATTCACATTTGTAAAGAAATCTGGTATATGACGTGACTGATTCAATATGAAAGTCTGAAGGAATGGTTAGGAGTTGTGGCATTGTTTTGGATTGCTGTAATTCTCAACGGACCCGGAAAGTGTCTGTGACAGATGGATAAAAGTGGGATATTGGAACCACGCACAAGAAAATCCTCAACAGGATCACATTGATGATTTAGCTCCCCCATTGGCTGCTGCAGAGACGTAGTAAGCAAAACGTGCGAGCACCTCCCATTTTCCATTGGCTTATAAATAAAAAGCATTTTATAAAAATATAATACAAATTACCTTAGAGTCTATTAAAAAGTAGTAACGTTTAGCCACCGCGCCTCCTTAAATTGCATTACCTAACTAAAATATATTTTTTTTTGGCGCCTCTCTGCATGTGGTGCCCGGGGCTTTGTGTCCCCTTTGCCCCCCCCCCTCCCAAATCACTACACCTCTTGTTGCTGACAACTGTAAAACGCATAACAAAAATCCTCTGGGCTCGCAAAGATCTTTCTGTAGGGAAGAGAAGAGGCAGATAGAAAATAACAAAACAAACAAATGGGAAGACATGGAGAAATGGTTTGTGTGGCGGTGAAATACTGAACTTGTCTCTAATCTAGAGGAGATCTCACCCCTTTTTTAAAGGGGATATCATAGTGCCAACAATATAACGTTGGCACAGAAATTAATGAATAAAGAAAAGCGCTCATGACAAATATTTATTATCTTTTTTTTATTCTTTGTTTTTTAGGTAGTGTAAAATATGAATAAGCAAACATTATAGAACACAATTCACAAAATGTAGTGTTAAAAAAAAAGACTTTTGTTTCTCTATGAGACATTTAGGGTATGGCTTCCTCGTTGGACGTAACAATGTTCAGTACTGAAAGAACGTCCTAACAAATAATAGAAATATTATAATATACTAGCGTTACCCACCGGCTACGCCCGTTGATTTGTTCTCATTCTCATGCTGTTTATTATAGCCGGAATATCCCCTCCTTCTTATCTGATCGTACAATAAACGACACCCCCCCCCCCTTTTTACTTTTTTAGCCCGTGAAATATTGAATTGAATGTTCTGTTTCTGCCCATATCTATCCCTGGACAGTGGTGTAGCTAGGCATTCGCCATCAGCTGGGGCCCTGTGGGCTTGACCTCATTTTATTTTAGTGCCCCTGCATTATGCGTAGTATTTAATATTTAATGTAAAAGAAATTTCGAACACTCATCTGGGGAACCCTCAAGTGGGGGCGCGGGAGATTTTCCAATTCTCCGCACCCTCCCTCACCCCACCACAGCTTAGCTAGGCCAATGCCTCTGGACACCCCCCCCCCCTTCTTTTATACTCCAACACAGACAGCAAACATGCTTCTGACCCGTGAATTCAAATTGTCTTACGTACAATCCTTGACTTTTAAAAAAAACAACACTTTTTCTCCTAACTGACGATACCAGCGTTGATTCCACCAGAATGTGGTAAATTAAATTAGTTAAATTAACGTTGTTTTTGTTTCGTTGTTTTATTTATTTCTGGATTATTTTATGTTTCAGACTCTATTGTAAACTGTTTCTTTTAAGAACTTGTACTGAGACTTTCTTTTGGTTTTCTTTCTAGACTATTGTTGTGGAAGAAATCAAAGACTACACCTGTCTGAGTGTGTTCGTCCTCTTGTTCTGCTGTCTGCCCTTTGGAGTTTGTGCTCTGGTCAAGGCTCAGCAAGTAAGTAAACTAGTATATAGGACCTGGGGATAGAGCTCCAACCTGCCAACTAGGTTCGAATTCCACGATTAATTATTATCTTATCTTATAAGTTACAGACTTTACTTCAAAAGATAAGATAATTACGTACTATGCATGTCATGTGTCAATCTAGTCATACATGTGACCCAAACTCTACCAAGTGGTTCGTTTTCCTGTCTGATTCAGGCAAACTATTTCATGATCTTATGACACTAGGGAAGAAGGAGAACTTGTACGAATTTGCCCTAGTACTTGGGATAGGAAAAGTGTCTTTATCCGTGTGTCTTTCTTAGTATTTCCGCAGGTTTTGTTTTCGTATTTGTAAAGTATGGTTCGTGCAGAGGCAAGTGACAAGCTCAAAATGTTTTGTTTGGTTTTTGAGTAATTTTATCAATATTGGGGTTCTATGATAACACCTAGCTATTTTACCTTGTGTAACTGGCTTAGTTCCACATTCAGACGTAGCAATCAATTGGTCACCTGTTCCTGCGGTCAACAAGGGTGCCATGTGGCCAGCACAACGACCAACCACCTTAACTTTTACCCAACTAATGTCAGGTGCCCTTTAGAGATGGGTGGATTCAGAGGCTCCGTAGGGATTCCGAAATAAAAAAAAAATCTTTTTCAACAGGATTCGAACCTGGGATCCCAGATTTGGAAGCCAGGCGCTTTACCACTCGGCTAATATGCATTCATTAATAAAATAAGTAATATTTGCTTTAGTTTTGTTTTGTTACTATTTATGACTGGTATTTCTCTGGATGGAAAGACATGCTCCAATCGATTCCCATTTCTGTAATTCTACTTTTTGTAAAATTTCAGTAACTTGTGTAGTTTTTTTTTTTTTTTCTATATACAATCTTCTGATAATATGGTTTAGGTGTAAAGATTAGTCTAAAGAATTATAATCCATTTAAGAAATGAAAAATAATATAAAGTATTGTAGAGTATTCTCCTCCTGTCTGAAGTGACTGTGGATGCACCCACCCATTTTCTATATACAATCTTCTGCTAATATGGTTTAGGTGTAAAGATTAGTTTAAAGAATTATAATTCATTTAAGAAATGAAAAATAATATACAGCATTGTAGAGTATTCTCCTCCTGTTTGAAGTGACTGTGGATGCACACAAAGCTTTCACTTAAAAGACTTAATAAGTCCTACCAACACTCTAATAAGGCTAACAACACTCTAATAAGTCATACAAGTCCTTACTAACACTGAACTACGCCAGCCAGTAACTTGTACCAATTGTGATGTAATCAATGTTTTATTTCTCCCCCCCCCCCATTTTTACAGTCACAGTCTTTTTTGGCTCAAGGCAACAGACTCCAGGCGCAGGAAAGCGCCTACACAGCCAGAAACTTAAGCATCGCTGGTATGATCGTTGGACCAATTCTGACCACCATCATAGTTCTTTTGAATGTGTTTGTCTTCCATGCTTATGGCTACGCTTGAAAATAAACATGCACTTTATCATACATCGTACCACGCATACACAAGCATATTCGACATGAAATAAGCATACATACCATAGACTCGTGGGCATCAGGATGCCATGTATACATCAAGATGGCATACCGACATACAAATGTCATTGATTGAACTCAACATATATATTTTTTTCCCATTTCGTCAACACGGTGACATTACAGATTTATATAGTTCAGGCTTTTTAGTTTAGCACTAGTTTTATCTATATATTTGTAGTTAACCGCCGTAAACGGAACTCTCCAATGTATATTTTAACAGAAGTGTTCAACAATTTTTGCAAGTATAAACAATGAAAAGTTGAATTTTACAAAAATATTGGCCCACACCCGAAAAGGTTAAAATTTGTAACATTTATTTTGTAAGATAAGAGATGAAAAATCGTAAAAATTTCGTATTATGTTCAATTATATCATAGATGGTAACTGAAGTTACTCGTTTATTCTTTTTTTTAATAAGATTTTTTGCGTATTGTACTATTTTATGGTATATGGATTTATGAATAAAATAATTTAACCGTTTCCTCTGGACATAGTTTTTTTAAATAAAAATTTTGATTTAAAACCTGTTTTTTTTATAAACATATTTTGCTACCATGCACCTTGGACAGATCTATCTGATGCCATCTCTGAGGCCATCGCTGAGATCTCTGAGGCCATCTCTGACCTACTTCAAGCATACAATGTGTCTTTTTTTTTTACTTTTACCTATCCCTTTGTCTGTTGGACCGTTGGGGCACTAAGCAAGACTCGTCGACCGATTTTCTCCATTCCTCCCTGTCTTTTGCCTTGTTTAAAACCTCTTTCAATGGCAGGCCCGTCCATTCTTTTATGTTGTCCTCCGATCGCTTTCTCTGTCTGCCTCTTCTTCTTTTTCCTGGTACTGTTCCATGAAGGAAGGTTTTTGCGAGCCCCAAAGATCTTGTGTCTACAAAAGGCAAAACGATAAAAATATAATAATTAAAAAATCTAAAATTTGGAAGTTTACACCAAACCTTTATGAACTTCTCTGTCTGTGTTCATGGTCTCCCCTCTCCCATTCTCGGGTCAATTTGAAAATTTGCATAATTATTTATTGTCTATTGACAACACACGAATCAATAAAAAAAAATTAATTACTTGGTCGTAATTGATTTTGTTTTATATAGAAACACTTAGGGCCTATTACACTAAGGTGAGATAATCCTAATGTGGAGAATTAGGTCTTTCGTTACATTTTAAAAACTAACAAATATACTATTCTGGTATTTTTGTTTATATTGATTGTCACCCCAAATTTTTCTTTACATTTGTGAATTCACGTGAGATTGTGTACTGACTATATTCCGTGTCTTTACTATGTGTGTAGTTATTCTCGTCATTTAGTGTAATAAAGCCTTAGATGCTAACGCTGTTTTTGTTAAATTAAAGTGCGACAACTATAAAACCTTCTACTTCTGTATGTACTTGGATAGCTCAGTGGCTAACAAGTCCGCTATCTCGGAGGCTCGAATTCGAAATCAGTCGAGCGACTTTTCATATATTTAATTGTTTTTGAAAAGGCAGCACGGGAAACCTTCTCCCAGATACCCTCCCCCCTCTTCCCACACTGCACTAGTCCACAAAAGTGATCGGACCATAGCGCACAGAGGATGCTAGAAGCATAAAAGTTGTGATAAACAAAAATAATGAAAATATTTCCAATCGCACAAATTGATTATTGTCGGATTAGATCTACTCAAAATAAATTTCATGTTTGTTTCATAATTTTTGATGCAATGTTACTCACTAATGGTTTCCGTTTAAGTGCGCCATCTTGAATCGACAATCCTTGCTTTTGAAGGTAGACTTACGCGACCTTTATGTCAGTTAATACAGGGGCTAAAGACCCAAAGGGAGGGGAGAAAAAGAAGACTGTATAAAAATGAATAATCGCTTAATTCAGATCTAGTAGAAGAGTTCTCATCTGTACTAGTCAATGTCTCTAAGTAAAGTTTCTAAAATTAAAAAAAATTAACCATCTTGAAAGCTTCTCCTTTGGCGCTCCGGTTGGTTTTAACCAATTTTTAAGGCTAGTTCCGGTTAGTTCGGTGAGGACGTTCTAGCGGTGTGATGACGTTGATAACAAGATGTGTAAGCGGTTTAGTTTACCAAAAAATGTTACTGAATGGATATCGGTCTCAGCAGTCCGAATTCTTTCCAAACTCGGAGAATGACTAGAACAGACAACTAACGACTTAGTACCCCGTCATTATAACATAACCTTAACATTTGAACAAATTGAGCAAGTTTTGAAATGTCAAGTGTACTGTCTACGGGCTAAGTAGTTTTTCGATTATTTAATCACCCAAATATTACAATAAGTTTTGTTTTGTATTTGTGGGGGGCATGCACGTATTCAATCTGGATCTAGCTTGGTTCGGAGAACATGTACTCTCGGGAGTACATTGTACTTATATAGTCATCACACAAACTCCTAGAAATGACGTTACTTAATTATTTTTATTCGAGAATCTTCTTGAACATGCTCGTGATGCCCATTAAGTGTCAGGTTCTGCTTGGAGAGAAAAGGAAATGATATCCAAGATTCTTTTCGGGTAATATTCTCAGATTTTTAACCCTTTTGATCCCTACCGTCAACCATTTCAACCTGAGATAACTGAGATGAATGCAGTGGCGTAGCTAGTGGGAATCGTGGTCGAGAGGCCAAGTGCCCTTGAACTTGGCTTGGCTTGGCTACCTAGAAGGGGGGCTCGAGGTTCGACACACGACTCGGGCAGAGTTGTGTTTACCGAGCGCCTAAAGGCAGCACGGAAAACCAACTCCTAGATACCCCCTTCCCCCTCCCCAACCGGTCCACAAATATATATATAAAAGTTATAATAATAATAAACGCCATAATATACATGACAGTCTTACAATGAACTAGTTAGTCATCAAAGGAAAACGTAAAAACAACAAAGAAAGTGAATTTGAATTAAAAAAAAATATTGATATCATTGTCATTGCTCAGTGGTCATTAAAATGTACAAGAAACAGTGAATACTTATAAGAAACAGTGAATTCTTTTCAAAATGTTTAAAGCTAAATACATACGAGTAGGTGTTGTTTTTACTAAGAACATTTATCCTTAGTTTATCCTCACCACTTGATGCCCCGTACGGCCCGCATCACCCGCACACGGCTAGCTACGCCACTGCATTCATCTCATTTCTATGAAATGATCCATTGTGGCTTCGCGACTGAAGGAGGCCATATATTAGGGGCGTTCAACTAATTCCCAATAATCACGTTCGCGCCCCATGCTAAGGAAGTAATATTTTGAGTGTTCGAAGATTCAGTTATTGAAATTAAATAGTGAACATTGTCAGGAGTAAACCAGGTGACAAGATTCTTTGAAATTTCACAAAAGGGGCTTAACCATATCAAACGTAGAAGCAGACGTTACGTGTTTGGGTTATCTTGTGCGCATGTCTGAGTATCTAATGCCTTTAACCACATAGAAATGTTGGGCTGCCATCGGCTGCAGCTATCGAAAGTGACCAATGATAAATGAGGAAACAAGAGCTTGATAAATGAGCTTGTCAGAATATCCTCCTTGCTGTGTTTACTTTGTCATGACTGACGGAGACAATAAAAGACTAGGACATGCCATGCGCCATGTATACACCAAAGCAACGTCATCTTATCTTAGTAATTTAAACAAAAAGAATCGGTGCATTGTAAAATACCTCTTTTTTTTTTTTCCGGATATTTGGTAAGTTTTGGAAAAAATATTATTATTATTAATCTTATTATTATAAGACACATGAACTAATAGTTGTTTTCTGGCATGGCCAGTTTATATGCGATGATTAGAAATAGTTGATTATAAATAGTACGCAATGACACAAAAACATATATGCGTTCTAGTTTTGGTAGTAAATTATTATTATTACAACACTCTGTCAACATGTTATGCGGACGTAACTATATTTCTATGCATTGGCTCATCTTTGTAACTATTATGAAGTGCAGCATATTGTGTAATTGAATAAACATTATGTCTTGTCTGTTAAAATTCGGACTCTAGTCAATCTATACCTGTGATGCCCAAAATTCGGCCCGCGGGTCAGATCCGGCCCGCGACGTGGTTCTATCGGGCCCGCCGAAACGTTGGCACAAACTGTAGTACCCCCCTCCCCCCATATAAAAAAAGGTTGAAAAAGTGTATCTTTAACTACATTAGGGCCCTCACTGTTTCTCTGATGGATTGGTACCAAGACCTTTAACATTTTGCGCTTAAGAAATAGTAATCTGAATGTAGAATCTAAAATGAAAACGTGAACGGATCTTTACTTTTTGGTGGAACATGATAATAAGCCATCATCTTTGTTTTATTAAAGAAAGTGTAGCTCTTTAAAACAAAACAAAACATATGAACGGTGTTTGTAATGTTTGTAAAAAAAAAAAGTAAAGTTTCCCTTTCAGACCTTGTGGTCTATAGGGCAGAGGATGTAAAGGTCATCTGTTTCTGTGGCCTACGGTTAACAAGGGTGTCATGTGGCCAGCACAACGACCAACCGCCTTTACTTTTCCCCAACTAATGTCAGGTGCCCATTAGAGCTGGGTGGACTCAGAGGCGCCCAAAGATCCCGAAATTAAAAATCCGAGTCTTCACCAGGATTCGAACCCGGGATCCCCGGTTCAGAACCCAAGCGCTTTACCGCTCGGCCACCGCGCCTCCACTTGTAATGTTTGTATGTGTGTTTAAATGGTGATATGGGGAAAAGGTTAGTGATTAGTTGTGAATGATGCAACATAGTTGTTGGTTAGATTTTGTTCAAAGATATTATTACATAAGTCTATACCAGTTACTTAATCTCCTTTCAACTTGATGTTGTTATAAATAAAGTGTTATTTAGTTTCTCACAAAAGGAAGTTATTCAAGTTATTTGAGGTTTTATTAGTTAAGATGTATTACGCCTACAACGGTTTAGTTGTCTATTAGCAGTTTGGAGGATTTACGAGTTGTCACATTTTTAGTACAGAAAGCCTTTTTGCCGACGCCAAAAAGAAAAAATAAACTTCCAATTTCGTATGGATGGGATATGTTTCTAATCAAGTAGCTTCAGGTTAATTGAAATTCTGTTTTTTTTTTTTTTTACCTTTTCCTTGTTGTGGTCCGCGACATGAGTGTCGGAAATTAAAAAGGCCCGCTGGTCAAATTAGGTTGGGCATCACTGATCTCTACCATTTATGTTTGTTACGCGTTAGGTGTGACTCCAGCATTCTACAGCATTAGCGACACATTGATAGTATTACACGTATCTACATATTAGTGACCAGTCAGATGTGTAATATCACATGGATGGACCGTTGACCTACGTGTCTTGGTTCACCACTCAAAATGAGCTCACAAACATATTTCATGTTCTGTTGTAAGCATGTATTTATTTATTATTACCATTTGCGTTATTGTTTCACTGCAGCGTATTGTTTTACGTAGAGGGCCGCAAATTAAGGGAGACTAGCATTCCGTGAGACGGGTATCTAGTGAGACAGGTGTCTGATGAGACAAGCATCTAGTGAGACAAGCATCTGGTGAGACAAGCATCTAGTGAGACAAGCATCTAGTGAGACGAGCATCTAGTGAGACGAGCATCTAATGAGACGAGCGCTAGTGAGACAAGCGTCTGATGAGACAAGCATCTTGTGAGACGAGCGCTAGTGAGACAAGCATCTGAT